GATGCAGCCGCAGATCCTGTACGGCGACCCAGACAGGACAAGCTTTCTTCGTCCTGCGGCTGCGCACTGCGCTAGCCTCTTCCTTTCTCAGGGTTGGTTTCTGCAACAGGGTGAGCAAGTATTTAAGTTTTCCCCGTGAGTAGGCCCTGACTTAAGCACTGTGGTCACTGAACAGTTCCCAGGAACTAAAAGTTGTACAAAAGATCAACAGAAAAGTCCAGCGGACTCTCTTATTACTCTCATTTATAATAAATTGGGAAATTAACTGATTAGCCGATGATTTTAGATATTTTAATAAGGCAACTTGGTTATATGAAGATACACTTGAGGGCTTAACACCTCTGGTGATCTGAATCTGGCTTTATTCAGTTGACCTGGAGTTACGTGAATATCAGAAGTTGTCTGGCAACTATTATTTCTACTCTTTATTCAAGAACGGCCTTTCACGATCCTTTCAGAGCACCCAATAGTTTAAAAGTTTGTATGCATAAAGGAGATAGTCAGTCTCAAAAGATTTTACTTTGTCTCCAAAGACCAAATTGTTACAACTACGATTAGATGTATAGTTCTTGTTCATTTGTGGTTCCATATCCCATGCCAATGTCCTAGTCAATTATTAATAACAAAATATTTGAAAACCTCAGCAGGGTCTTCCAAAATTGCCAGATTGGTCTTGAAAAGGTGGTTTTCTGTTTCTGAGCAGTTGTAATTACAGGTGTGTACCACATGAACGCATACTGTGTATACAAGGTCTGATAGGTCCTGTTTTGTTGACCCGTTCACCTCACTTGGGAACACAGAATACAAATAGTTAAGTATCTCATCACCTGGAATGCAGCTATTCTGACATTGCTCTTTTCTGGAACCATTAAGTTAAAAAAAATTCCCCCAGGACTCAAAATATACCAGAGGACTGTATGTTTCCAACATTTTAAGGGTGACCTCTCTGATGGCTTTTTTTTTTTAATTTTAGATGGTTTTACTATATAAGCCCAGCCTGACCTTCAACTCTCCATCTACTGCTCTCTTGCCTCAGCCTCCCAAGTGCTAGGATTACAGGCACATGGCATCACACCTGGCCTGTGTGTTTAAAAAAAAAAAGTTTTAAATCGGGGCTGGAGAGATTGCTCAGCGGTTAAGAGCACTAGCTGTTTTTCCAGAGGTCCAGAGTTCAATTCCCAGCAACCGCATGGTGGCTCACAACATACATGCAGACAAAGGGCACAATGCAGACAAAGCTCTTGTAAATAAATAAGTCATTAAATGCTTTTAATCTACGTAATTGTAGGATAAAATTCTTCTGGCAAACCCTATAGTTCCTTGCCTTAGTTCCTCTGAATAGTGAAGTCTTGGAGGAAACTGACCTGTCTCCTTATGGAGATTTGACCAGTTTAGATACTCTCATTTATGTACTTGCTTCTAGACAGTCAAGACAGAGAACACTCCTCCCAGAGACCCTCCTGCTGTCCATCTACTGTCACAGCCTTATGCCCACCTTAACCCTGGCAACTATCTATCTATTCCAGTCTATAAATAGAATCACACAATGGAATCTTGAAGATTAGCTTTCTGCTACTCAGCATAATTCTCTAGAATGAGATGCATTCAAGAACATTCCTTTTGAGTACTCCTTTTTTCACATGGAATGCAGTTATTAGTTTTCCAAATTCACTTGAAATTACACCAAACAAGGTATAGAGATTAGGTTTAGCAATGAGAAGGCTCAGCAGTTTAGGACCATCTTGGCGTAGTCTAACCATGTCCATGCATCATGTTAAACTTTAGGGTTCTTTATGACTGATTTACTAAGGAAACTTAAAGTATGACAAGATAGCATTTTAGGTCTGCACCTGAACTTGCCACTGGTAATGTGCATGGTTTTGCTTTTTAAAACTTGGAGCTTCTTGAGCAGATATCAAGACCTTATATAGCTTCACTAATTTTTTTTTTTCTTTTTTTGGTTTTCTGAGACAGGGTTTCTCTGTGAAACAGTCCTGGCTGTCCTGGAACTCACTCTGTAGCCCAGGCTGGCCTCAAACTCACAGAGATCTGCCTGGGTCTGCCTCCCGAGTGCTGGGATTAAAGGCATGCACCACCACCGCCTGGCACTAATTCTTATAAAGTATATTTTCGAGACTTTTAACCCTAGAATGTCATCATATCATTTTGAATGTTTTCCAAATCACCAATTATTTCAATGTAAAAATTTGGGTATCAGAATTATAAAAGTACACAATTGAGCACACTAAGGACTGGAGACTTGCTCCAAACTGCTTAATGGTCAACACTAAGAGTTTAGAACATGAGTTTGTTTGTTTTGGAGACAGGGTTTCTCTGTGTAGTTTTGGTGCCTGTCCTGGATCTCGCTCTGTAGACCAGGCTGGCCTCGAACTCAGAGATCCACCTGGGTCTGCCTCCCGAGTGCTGGGATTAAAGGCATGCGCCACCACTGCCTAGCAGAACACGAGTTTTGAGATCTATTTTTGGCTTTTTATTTTTGACAGTGCCAGTTCTTCAGAACTGCACCTCAAGATGCTCAGATTCCAGATGACATCATCTTTGTGTCAGTGGGAAGACTTACATGACACTAAGAATCTAACTGTTCAGTTATTCAGCAGATTAAATCGAGTAACTGAGTGCAACAGACTAAACATAAAAGGACATCACAACAAACTCTGTAAGGTCCCTAAAGTGGAAGACTTTTGTGTGGGAGGTACACACATGTGTAAATATTAGTGGAAGGCTGGAGGAGCATAAGCATTCTGCTCTATCATCCTGATTGACTCCCCAAAGCCAGGGTCTCACTGAACCTGGAGATAGACTAGCAGCCAGTAAGCAGCAGCAAGCCTTGTATCTTAGTGCTGGAGTTAGTGGTGTAATTCCTGCTGGCACAGCCTGTGGCTCTTAACGAATTTGTTTTTTCTGTTTCCAAAGTGGGGAGAATTTTGAAAATCAGTCTTTAGACTATAACCACATACATACTGGGGAAAAACAAAAAAAACCCAACCTATTTGCCAGAGTCCAGTTCTAGCAGGGTTCAGGTCCCAAAGATGAGGTGTAGAGTCAAGTCAGCGAGGGGAAGGAGGAGACTGGCATGATCTGAGGGTGAATCGTGATGGCTACCACTTTATTGAAAGAAAGGCCACACTTTTATACTCTCTAATTGCACAAGGATTAAATGGGAGAAAGGGGGCATGTGAGCTGGGGTGTGGCTTATGATCAGGGATTGAGGAAACTAACATGACCTTCACAAGTTAATAGGCACCACAGTCATATGGAAGGGCCAAAAGTTCTCTTGCCAGAGACAAGAATGACTCCATTTTTAGCAAGCAGAAACTTTCTTCAAGCCTGTGAGGGAATAGGGGCTTTTGTCTAAATGCCTGATCTAGGGAAAAGGACTTTCTTGGGGTACCAGACACACCATTATTGAACACTGCATTTTTTTTTTTTTAAAATATGGCTTAGTTTATCCAAATAGCTAAAGCTTAACATAAGCAAAGATGAAGCTAGGCCAAGTATTACTGTGAATCTGAGTAGACCTTAGGAATTTATAAATTTTGATTGTTAAATATACCTTATTTATCAAACATATCTAAATTTTCTAGCAGCTTAGTATTGACTTGTGTGGGAGTAGGCAGTTATCACACTATATGGTTTCACAGTAGCCAGTACCTAGGGTAGAGGTTAGGCAGGACTTTCGGACCAAAAGAGAGCACCAGGAAGGTGAGGTTGTGAGCCAAACGCAGAGGAAGCGATGAACATGCCATGCTGAAAAAAGGTACCACCACATGGTAGAGCGTAGAGAAGAAATATGGGTTAATTTAAGATGTAAGAGCTGGTTAGTAACTAGTAGCTAGTTAGTTTAATAGTAAACCTAAGCTCTTGGCTGAGCTTTTATAATAAGTTTGTGTGGTTATTTGGGAGCTGGCTGGTGGGACAGAAAAATCCCGCCTACACATCCTTATGCTCCATTGAAGCCCACGGGAAAGGTGAGAATCATTAAAAATGAAAGTAAAGGGTGATGGAGAATTGTGATCCACAGTCAAAATGCTGGAACTTTGTTAAGCAGCAATGGTTGCTATGTGGTCCATACCAACTACTAAAACTATCCTTAGAATTAAGTTCAATGTAAGACATTGTCACTTTTCAATCTTTAGTTGAGTTTTAGCCAAGTAATAGTTTGTATTTAGGAAACAGATTTAAAAAAAAAAAAAACACACGATTTTTATCTTTTAACAACAGATTCACTCAGCACAGGGGAAGAAATACAAGTTATTAATTTTAGCCTCCCTCTTTAGACTGTACACCAAAGTCCAGGAAGTGCGGAACTTTGTAGTTTTAGTGTTTCCTATGTGCTTGATGCAATTCCACAGTCGTTTGCCACATGGTACTTGTGGCCAGTTCCCAAACTTAAATGACAGGTCTCTGAGGTTATTTCCAGTGCAGAGACTGACATCATCTACACACAATTAATCAGATAATAACAAAGCTATTAGGGGTTTTGTGTGTGTGTGTGTGTGTGTGTGTGTGTGTGTATGTTTTGTTTTCTTTTCAGTCTTCCTTCAAGAAGGTGTAAAGAGATCTAAGCAACTGAGTTGTCTTTTGTTTTCTTTTTTGTTTTTGGAGACAGGGTTTCTCTGTGTAACAGCCCAAGCTATCCTGGAACTCACTTTGTAGACCAGGCTAGCCTCAACCTCACAGAGATTCACTTGCCTCTGCCTCCCAAGTGCTGGGACTAAAGGCATGCACCACAATGCCTGGCCACAAATTCTCTTTTAACTATAGTATTTCTTGAAAGGGCCTCTCTAAACCAGGACTGAGTGATTTGTCTAAAGAGAAAATTCACTGGTTAGGACTTAGGTCTAAACTCTGGGTTACCATCCACAGAGAAGCCTTCTCTAGAAAGGGGTGCTACCCTGGGAAATGGCTCCTCCAACCTTACCACCATTGTAATCCTGTCCGCAGCTGAAACTACTTACAAACAGAAACTTGATACAACAGGAGGTGAAACAATTTTATTTCACAGTTGTCTTTAAAACTGCAAAGACACTATTTTCTTCATATAAAAACATTAGTATAGATACCTATACGTTCTAGAAAATGATTATGTAGACCCTTTCAAAGAAAATGCACCCATTATATGGTTTCTGTGAAGTTGCTTGGAGAAAACTCACATCTGGACTGATTCCTAAAACATACCACCCCATACTCTGCAGCTGTTGGTTCTAAGTACAGATTATTGTCACCATTGTATGTCTCTGCATCCTCATATCCTTATATCCTTTATCATTTAATGTTCCATTGGTTCATCAGCTTTTTCTGCAGGTTCATCAGCAGCCTGTGAAGGCTTTAAAAAAGAAAAAGTGAAAAGATGTAAACTGAACATTTAATATACACTCCTAAATCACAGATATTACGATGTAAAAAATTAGTGAGAAAAGGGGTTAAAAGATATCACAGACACTTGATTTCAGTACAATATCCTGTTAAAATTTTTTAATAAAGCTTTTTAAAAAAGTATACATACATATATAAAAATAAAATTTCAGTTCTTCAAACTTAAAGATCATCCACAATTAATTCTACTTTTTATCATTTGTCTTAAGAGTTAAGACTTTCTTATGTTATACTACTATGCTTAAAACACAGACAGTAGCACCTTTTAAATTTCCTTCTGTTCCGAAAAAACACCAATACCCACAAACTAGCTACATGGGACTTTAGAGCATTCTTCCTAACAGTGCTAATTCTTACTAATAACAACTAAAATACAGATCTTACCCTCCCAAACAGCACCAATAGTATATTTGCCAAGTTGAGGAAAATTCAAAAACTCAAGCTGGAAGAAACTCTACCACTACCACCCCTTTTTTGGAGAGGGTTTCACTGTGCTGGGATTATAGGAATGATCCTATAATCTGTAGGTAAAATTTCTGTACCACTTTTTATATTTCACAGCCATGAAATCCACCTCCATTAATAGCAAATGTGAGCTGTGTGTGGAGTGCATGCCTGTTATCCTACAAGCTTAGAGGCTTTGGCAGGAAGGTAGTTTGAAGGGGGAAAAAATCAAATGCATATTCTCAGGAAAAATTTATAACCCTAGACTCACCATTTTTATTTTCAGTTTTTAAATCATTAATTTGTTCTTATCTTATGTATATTGGTGTTTTGCCTGCATGTATGTCTGTGTGAGGGGGTCAGATTTGGAGTTATAGACAGTTGTTAGCTGCCATGTGGGTCCTGGGAATTGAACTGGGGTCCTCTGGAAGGGCAGTCAATGCTCTTAACTGCTGAGCCATCTCTCCAGCCCCTATTTTCAGCTTTTAAATCAGTATTTCTTAATGCTTTTGGTCACCACTTATGGAGAGCCAACTTAAATGTCCAAAGCTAGCTCCCAACAAGTATTCTTTTCCAGACCCTTCTCAGAAGAATATAGGCTAGCCCTATCTCTCACTTTAACCTAAAGAATGTGCCAAAGTGAAGTTGTATCAGTCCTGAGTTCTAGCCTTTAGAATGGCTGGCAACCTTCACTTTTGAGCTTTTCCAAGCTCTGTCCACCACTCTGCCGGAGGGGTCCTGAGAATACATAGACAGAAGCCTAGTCATTCTAGTAGTCCACAGCCTTCTAGCTGACTCTGAGATACCTAGAAAGCCAGTAAAGAATAAAGTCATCTTCGATGCTCTGCCCCTTCTTCAGACTGCAGCATTTGTGAGAGCCCAACTGAGAGCAGCAGAGCCATCTAGTTATGCCTTGGTCCATACATAACAGGACTCTGAGAAATGTGGTCTAACCCTGAAAATTTTGGGGTCACCTTAATTAGGTTACAATAGAAAACCAAACTCTTCTCCCTTTTTGTGTTTATGGAGATCATTGCCCCTTCAACATTTAACTTGACTCAGTTTTCTCTTTGTTATTTCAATTACAGATCTATCTTAACAATTAAAGACACAAGTAGGGAATTTACATGGCTGTGATAGGAACAGCAGCTTACAGTAAAGCTGACTAGTAACATACCTGTGCTTTTCTCTGTGGTCTTTCTTCAAGACCATCCAGGAATGGCGACACATCATCATCATCATAGATTGTAAACTCCAAGTCTTTACCAACAATTCCAATGGAAACATTCTGAGGACGGAAAGGGAAAATTAATGTGTATGATAAAATGTTGGGCAAAAAAGTAGAAAAAACTAATACAGCATTTAAATTCAAAGTTTGAAAAACTGTATGCAGGTGTAAGAGAGTCAGGAAACTATGGCTCTTTTCAATTACAGATTCAATATTCACTTTTGGTTATCATGAGTAGCCTCAAAGGTCCATGTTATCTAGAAACAAAGTCTTCACCTAGAGCAGTGGTTCTCCACCTTCCCAACACTATGGTACTTTAATACAGTTCCTCATGCTGTGGTGACGCCCAACCACAAAATTATTTTGTTGCTACTTTGTAACTAATTTTGCTACTGTGATGAATGAGAATGTAAATATCTGATATGCAACCCCTGTGAAAGGGTTGTATGACCCCCCCAAGGGGATCATGGCCCACAGGCGGCTAACCACTGAAATAGATACTAAATAACAATTACCCAATAACTAACAAATAGCTTTACAATGCTATCACACTTAAATGTAGTAAACCCAAGTATACCTTCCCTGCTCTTTTATGATCACACAACTTAGTTCTTAGATCATCCCACCATCCCCTCTCCCTCCCCCAGTGCTGAGGACTGCTTGTCAGGAGCAAGCACTTTATCAATGAACCACACCCCTAACCCCAATCTCCCCTTCTCTTAGACATTTCCTTCTTAACATTCTCCATCCTTCTTCAGCTGGGAACCTGTTTTTCCATTTCATTGAGAAAACAAAAGCAACTGGGAGACAGACATTTTCTTTCTTACCATTACTATGAATAAATACTCCTATTTTTTCTTGATAGCCAATCTTTCCACGTCTGTGTTGATAAAAGACACAGCTCTGGCCAGTTTCCTCATATCTGTCCTATATAACCATTTCGTTTTACACTGAATTATTACCATAACCATACACCAAATGTGATGTAATTTCTTCCATCCTAAAAATCTTAAACAGTGAAAAATATTTACTACCTCTTTGCCCAGGCAGTATTCCATATTTGTCTGAAATAATCAATGGAAAAAAAACTCATCTCTTCCACAGAGATCTCTCAATTCCTCTTCTCTAGAGTCCATTCTTCTCAAGGCCTTCCTTCCCCAGTCAACTAGAACTACCTGTCAAGTCCTCAGGCTACCACTGTTATTGCAGTGGGTAGTTCAATTTGTACCTTCTTGGTTTCTTAGCATTTTTCTTCTCCAAGTCTCTTCATTTGCTTTCAAGGCTGTCTCATTTTTCCAGGTTTTCCTCTGTCTCAGGTTGTCTTTCTGAGTCTCTTGCTGATACCTACTAATCTCCCAATCTCTTAAAGGTTAGAGTGTTTTTGGCCTAATCCTCAAAGTGATTATCTATTATCTTTAGAAACCATACCTATTGTACTCTTTAAATGTCATTTCTATGTAAAGACTCCAACATAAAACTCTAACCTGGACCACTCTCCACAGAAGTCTAGTGGGTACTGAAAACTGCTTCTTCTCTATCAATTAGACAGACAGGCATTTTGAATTTTATACATCGTAAACTGACTCACCTTCTTCTATAATGTCTGTCCCTAAACCTGTTCCTTCCACTCTCATATCCAACTCAGTAAAATGATAACTCTTTCTTCCAGTTTATCACGTCAAAAACCTTGAAAGCATCATGCTCCTATCCTAACAAACTTGTGAGCAAATTCTAATTCCCCAATATCTAACACCGAATCACTTCTCTATCACTGTTTCTGAATATACATAATTTATATATATAATATATAATATACATATATATCATCTCTGATTTCTTGCCTTCTCATTTTTATCTTGTTCACTGGCTCCAAGTCTACTGACTTCCTTCTTTAAACACTGGGAAAATTTGGCCTCAGGACTTTTGCACATGTGTTTGCTGGAATAATCTTACTCCAGACACCAGTATGGCTCACTTACCTTTTTTAGTTCTTTTCTGCAAATTTCACTTCATTGGTGGTCATCCTTGATCACTGTTTTAAATTACATCCACTCACTAATGACCAATACTCAATAGGCTCTTTCTATTGTGTTATTATTCTTTCAGCACTTGTCACCTTCTGATAATAGCAGGTCACTTATTTATGTATATATTATTTACTCTCCCATTAGACTCTAATGAAGGCCAAGATACTTGTTGAATTATACTCCCAATACCTAGAGATTGTCTGAATACAGCAAGTGCTCAATGTATCTGTTAACACCGTTAAAAATACAGAAAGGGCCTGGTGGTGTAGGCTTGTCACTCTGGCACCTGAGGTGAAAGCAGGAGGATCAGGAGGTCAAGGTCATCCTCAATTACAGAGCAGGTTGGAGGCTAGCCTAGGTTATACTATACTTTTCTAAAACAAACAAAACAAAAGTAACAACAAACCAAAGACAAAGGTATGACTAACTAACTACTTTCCGAAACAAAACAAAACTGAAGAACATTCACATTTACTAATTTTATTGCTACATAAACTTCCACCCCAATTTAAAACATGACATTTCAAAACCAGATCTTTTTGTGAATAGAAAGGAAAAATGACCCAAGGCAGCCCAATTAAAATAACTTAAGCAATGCTATTTCATTACTTGTGATTGAGGATTAAACTGCACTGTTAATAACTACAATTGGAACTATGAGTTACCTTTGTGGTCAGGTCCTGCTCTGCAGGGAGTGTTTCTCTTAAGGCACGCAGACCATGCTTAACCAGCTCATCCATATTGCCTGTATGCAATAAATTAAAAATAATTTCTTAGTTTCACTATCATATAAGGCTTCTTTTAATTATCAAGTCTATAGCCTGAAACTATGGCTTGAGTGACATACTGCACAGAATAAAATAGCCAATAGTTTAATGTTAGCTGTATAATCTAATCTAATATCAACCAACATCAATCGCTATTTGATGTCTTTTATTAATAAATGTGATGTTCTTTCACTAGGTTAAATAAAAGTCCCAATTCACAAATGCCATTCTAGTTTTGTAGAATGTTTTATAGAATGTTGGCTCTTATATTCATTCAAGAGCCTTTAATTCATCCTATGGGGTCATATTACCTGACACTAAAACCATCACAGAAAACTACAGACCAATCTCCCCTATGAATAAAGATACTAAAATAAGTGGCTCATACCTATTACCTTAGCACTTGGAGGGTATGGGGGCAGGGGTGGAGATTAGGAGTAGCTTGGGCTACATAGGTAGTTCCAGGTCAACCCAAACTATACAGTGTGACCTCATCTCAAAACAAAAAAGAAAAATAAAAAACAAAAAACCCAAAACAAAACCATTACTACCATTTCTACCGCCACCACCACCAGAAACCAACAACATAGAGAAAAGATTACACATAATAACCAAGTGTGGTTTTTCTCAAGAATGTAAAGATGGTTAACATTTGAAAGGTCAATCAATGTAACACAATAGACTTAATAGACTAAGAGAAAAAATAAGTATGACCATTTCAATTAGATGTAACATGCATGTGATAAACTCCCAACTCTTACCTAATAAAAACATTCATTCAACTAGTATTTGAAGGAAACTTCCATTTATAAAATCTCACAGCTAACATCATATTTAAGAGAATAACTGAATGCTATCCCCTCAGGATCAGGGGTAAAACAAGGACATATGCTCTCAGCATTTCTATTTACCGGTTATAGCCAAGGCATTTGATAAGACACAAAATGCACCCGTGTGGGAAGCAAGAAAGAAACAATACACATCAAGCCTGGGGTTTGAGAAGTAAAATCACCTCTACTATTAATTACGTGATCTAGTAGCATGATCTCAGATCTAAGGATTCCCCTGGAAAAAAGACTGGAATTAAGGAAGGGTTCTTAAGGTTGGAAGACATGCGATCAATATACAATTATCAGATTCTTACAATGGGCAATCTTCAAATGATATTGAGAGACTCTTGTTTAAAACATAATGAAAAGAATAAAATATGAATGAATTAAACAAAGGAAACACAAGACAAAAATTGAAAATTACAAAATACCATTGAAAGACTTAAGTAAATGTAACAAAATCCCATGTCCAGGCCTCAAAGACTTGTATAGATGTTGCCTAACTTACAATGGGGCTTCCCACAGTAAATGGCAAATGTTAAGTAAAATGTGCATTCAACCCACCTTGCCTACCAAATGTTACAGCTTAGCAACATATGATTGTGTAGCTGGCCGAGACCATGCTGCCTCCCTGCATCATGATAGAGGGTCTTACCATATGTGACTAACTCATGATGAGATCAAAATTCAAATTCAGGAGTTCACTTCCCACTGAGTGCATGCTGTTTTTGTACATCATAAATTCAAACTATCCTGAGCTGAGCCATCATAAATGAGTGTCATCTGTACAATAGTGGAAGGACTACCCAAATGCTCTACAGACTTAAACAGTCCTTAAAGCTCACACAACTGCTGTGACACTCCCTAAGGACTCCTGCAGGTTATCGACTCATCTTTTCCTTCTGTGATCAAGCTTTGTGCCCTGATTCTGCTCTAAGTCTTACTTAGGGTATGACTACATGCTGAGTCCTTAGTACTCAAAAATCTCCCAATGTGCCGGTCATCTTGGGAACTCCTAGTCCAATTCTAACTCCTATATCCACTGAGCCTCAGATATTTCCTTCAAAGAATACTATACTGTCACAAGAAAAATTAAAAGACAACCAAGAGAAATCTTTAAAGCCTTGACATTAACCCTTCTTCTAGTGCAAAGCAAACACTTGAAAACCAGCTCATCATCTTATACCCTTCACCCTCTTTTCCACAGCTATACTGACTTTTACTTATTTATGGGCCACTTAGAGTAGAAATGCTATGTGGCCTAAAATAGAAACAGACTTACAGACCAGAAGTTGTACACAGAATTTGCAAATAACTAGTGTAATGGGTTTCAGCTCTGGCTGGAATCTATTTCAGACCAAATGCATGAAGAATTTTCAAGGCTGGAGACACACACAGATACAGACACACACACACACACACACACACACACACACACACACAGTTTGTTTGTTTTTCAAGACAGGGTTTCTCTGTGTAGCCCTGGCTTTTCTGGAACTTGCTTTGTAAACATCCACCTGCACCTTCCTCCCAAGTGCTAAGATTAAAGGTATGAGTGCCTGGCTTGACACATTTATAGTTTGATAAAGTTTTCTTAGTAGCTAGAAGTACAAGTTAGTATGTGTTACACAAACAGGCACTTTATGAACTTAGGATTTAAAAGCTAAAGACTAATGGTTTTCCTCATTTAGGATAGATTTACTAATTATATAAAGTCTAGAAGAGGCAAAACAAAATAAAGTAAGCCAAACTACACTTACACTCCATAAATTCAGACATATGTCTCTCCAGGTAAGTCCGGGCGGATTGAGAACGGGCTCCAATAGACATAGCTCTGCAGTCAAAATAGTTAGCAGATGGACAGGTTTGGAAAATGTGAGGGCCCATGTCCTATAAACAAAAAAACATACTATGAAATTCTTGCCTTTAGCTAACCTAAAAATTTCAAAGTTTCTAGGCTTTAAACATTGTTAGGATATAATTATGATAACTACGATGGTTAATCACTGTCAATCTGACTGGATTTAAATCACCTAGGAGACACATCTCTAAGTTTGTGTGTGAAGGCATTTCTAGATAGTTTTTTTGTTGTTTTCTCAAGACAGGGTTTATCTGTGTAGCCCTGGCTGTTCTGGAAATCATTCTGTAGACCAGGCTGGCACGAACTCAGAGATCTGCTTGCCTTTCTCCATAGTGCTGATATTAAAGGCTTGTGCCACCACGCCCAGAGCCAGACAGGTTTAAATGAAAGGGGAAAACTCACTCTGACAGTGACTAGCACCATCTCATAGGCTTTGTCCTGGCCTTAACTATAGGAGGAAATAAGCTGAATACCAGCATTCACCTCTTCCTGCATTCTAACTGGAATGCAGTGTGACTGGCCAACTCAAGCTCTTCTATGATGAACTTTGGCTCTTCCTTGGGTTGTTTATGTCAGGCATTTTGTCACAGAAACAGAAAGTAACTAATACACGAACAATGCTCTAGGAACTTACATCATAACCAGCAATAAGCAGCCCAACACCATATGGTCTCCGGCCATACCGCTGTGTTGGGATCTGGGTCTCTGAAACTAGTTAAGGAGCCGGTTTCAACATTGTAATAAATTAAAGACTTCCAGCTGCTTCTTTGTTTTTTTTGTTTTTGTTTTTTCCTGAAACAGGGTCTCCATATGTAGCTATTGGCTGTCCTAGAATTCGCTCTGTAGACTAGGCTGGCCTTGAACTCACAGAGATCTGCCTGCCTCTGCCACCTGAGTGCTTGCACCACCACTGCACGGAGACTTCTAGCCTCTTAATTGTTCCACAATCTTTTAAAAGTAAGTAATAGAATAGCATTCCTTTGGCCTAATATATATAAAGTTTGAATTTCCACCAAAGCCAAGCATGAACACCACAAAATGATCTCTTCCTATACAGGGATTCATTTTGGATATAAAGGGCCAGAACTCTGGATAATAACTAGAACCATTCATAAACTTCACTCTTTAAAATTATAATTGAATAGTTCCCTAAAATTGGTCTGTTGTGTCTGGGAACAATCAGCTGTTTATAAAGGCTAGTGAAAGAGTAATCCAGTTCCTCAAACCTTTACAATTTACAATCTGATTTGTTTCATGCTATCACATTCCAATAACTAAGACAAACACTGAGTACCCAAACTCCTTAAGGTTTACATTTATAAATGCCAACATAAAGGATACTGCTTCCAATCAGAGACACAAGGCGAGACACAGGAAGTGGTCTGTCAAATACAAATCTGGAATCCAAACACTCCTGGCGCATAAAATTACTAAGAAAGAAAAAAAACAAAAATTAGTTCATATTACAGAGAATAAATACAACCTAAACATTTAAACAAGGTAGTTTGATTCCATTTTGCTTTCCTGCAAACATTTTCATGGAGTACATCCATAAAAATCAGAAAGATGAGATATGGCCAAAAAGATTCCTTTGAGTATGCACATGTGTGCAAGGGGCTACATGAAGATTTAAAATAAATGACCAAGTGAGGCAAGGCAGCTCATCCCTATAATCAAGCATTTGGAAAGTGAAGGCAAGAATTCTAAAACCAGGTTCTAGTTGTTTTCATACTAACTGAATGTTGGCCTGGTAATAGTTTAGATACTGAGTTAAGTAGCATGTTTGACCACATACCAGACTTCCTATTTTGAGAGCAGAAACACATGTAGTGTCATTCTACTACAACTTAAGAGACTGGCTGAATAATTTGAAAATCTTAACCAATGGTAATATGGTCCTTACTCTCACATTCTTTCCTAATCAAACCCTGATGAACTAAAGAGATTAGCTTTGGCTACTTTCAGTTATCTCCCACTCTTTCTGAAAGTCACTGTGTTAAGTGTTTTACATATCAGGTGACTTATTGGGAAAGATTATTTAAGTAACTAGCTCAATCTCAGATATTAAGTTATAAAGTGAGAATTTAATTGGTATGATCTCAAAGTCCTACCATTTCATTTATGTGCTATTTCTCAACAAGAAATATCTATCTCCTTGGGATAGTCAAAGAAATTTGCCTATTACTCTCTATTTCACACCTTGTGTTATAATAAAATAGTTTTTAAGTTCTCTAAAGACAAAATCTATAACTGAGTCACATTTCTATACCTGTATTATATACTACTGAGCTTTTTGAAAACAAATGTATAATAAATATTCACATAGAGGAGTGTCCAGGGCTTGAAACAATATACGTCACCAACTATCTCATCCAGGGACTTTTCAAAACCATTAGGATGTTTAACACCACTATAAGAATTAGGAAATGGGAATACTTAGTAACACACCCAAATATTACCATTTATAATATTCTAGGGGCTGGAGAGATAGCTCAGCTACTATTTCAGAGGACCCAGATTCAATTCCCAGTATCCACATGGCAGCTTACAACCTCTGTACTCTATAATACCAGGGGAATCTAATGTCCTCTTCTGGCTTCTGAGGGAACTGGGCACACATTGGTACACAAACATACATGCAGACTAAACACCCATATAAATAAAATACATAATTAAAAATTATAATATTCTGGGAAACAACTTCCTACAATATCTTATTGGGGTATTTTCTAGAAAAATACATCATTATGAATCAAAAGAGATATTTAATTTTTCATGGTCATACATACCATAACAGTCTAGCATCAGCAGTCAGACCCGCAATTGAGATACCAATATGGTTGTCAACATGGAGAATTTTCTTCTGGTGAGCTGCAAGTTCTGACTGTGCCCTCTAAATAGAGACACAGTATGATAGATATTTAAGTTTATACCTTTATTATTGATCAGTGAAATTTACATCTGATAGTTCTGTTTCCCAAAGAAGGAATTATCATTTCATTTACCTTCAATGCAACCAACACTGCATGTGTTTTTGACTTTAGACCAACTGTGGCTGAACCTTGTTTAACAGCTTCCATTGCATATTCAATTTGATGAATCCGGCCCTAAAAACAAAAAGAAAAGCACATCTTATAGTCACTTTAGAAGATCATTACAAATTAAAAATTAAAGTTTCCAGATCTCAGGTGAGCATAATTAAATTTCATTTTTAAAACCAATAAACTAATTTCCCCCCTGGCTATCCTGGTACACCCTTAATATACAAAGCTGGCCTCCAGCTCACAGAGATCCCCGTCTCTGCCTCTCGAGTGCGGAGATTAAAGGTGTATGCCTCTACTACCCAACTAATTTCAATTCTAGCTTTAAGTTCAGCCTAAAATTTCATTGTTTTTTAAAGATAAGGTTCTACTAAGCTGCTCAAACTGGCCTCCAACTCCATGATCCTCTGGCTTCAACATCCTGACCAATAAGGATTAAGATATGCACCACCAAGCCCAGTTCATAATCTCACAAGTTTCTGAACCTACTGCAGTCATGAAAAGCCACTTCATAGACATGGCATAAAACATTTTACCTGAGGGCTCCAAACAGTGACATCATTGTCATACTGGTTGCGAAACTGAAAGTGGAAGAAAGACAGATTAATATGAGAACATTACAAACCTCAAATTTTAACCTTTAAGACTTGTGCCTGCATGTGTTTCTGTTCAACAGTTAAAGCCTTTCTGCTAGGGCAACTTTCCTGAAACATTATTACAGCACTCAGTTTGCAGGTCAATTCTACCTTAACCCTGGGCTGTTGGGATGAGTGGACTCAGGTCTTCCTATTCTGCCACTCTCCACAGCACTCCCCTTGGGCAGTCAATTGCTAAAGCATGTATGTACACATCTACTTTTCTTTCTCTCTGCTTTCACCATTCTCTTATACAGGGTTCAAGTAATTTGCCAAAGGCCTTGAAATTGACTCAATTTACATTATGATTAAAGTTATGTCTGGTTTAACTTTGTGCTCTTTTCTTGCACCTTGTCACTGAATGAATTAACATATACACAAAGAGGTGGGCACAAATAGCTACAGTGGCAGAACCACTACAGTTATAATGCCATTACTAGAGCAAGTGTGTGTGCACTTGGGAGAATATTCGTGAGAATGAGAAGATCAAGAGTTCCTATGGCAGGCGCGACAGAAGCAGTTCAAGGGCCCTTACTTTGTGAACCTGATTCCATCACTTCCCTTCTCATTTGTAACTAGGTGACAAAATAAAGTGACCGAATGGAGCTTTTTCCCATAGCACTCTAAGAAGTCGGATAAAGTCAAATGGACCCATGAAGAAGATGGGCATGGTCTAAGGATCTGACTGCGGGTTCAGGTCTGCGCTGGCGGTGCGGGAAGGCCAACTGGACTCCCATCCTCTTCCTCCAATGCAGTCACGAGGGACCACAGGGCCACCTGGAATCCGTCATTGAAGTAAACTGAGGGGCGAGGGTGGCTAGCTGGTCGAGGAAGAAGCGCCTGAACCCCATGTAAAGTAGAGAAGCCGCGCGAAAGGCCGCCCCAGCTACCGACCGCTCCTCGCCGGCCAGGCCGCAGATGCTGAATCACTGCCGGGGCCCGTTCGTGAGCCAAGCTCCCTCTCCCACCGCCCCGCGCCGCGCCACAGGGAACAGAGGCCGATCCCCGACCGCGTCAGCGGACCTCAACCCCAAACCCTCCGAGGACCTGGGGCCCAACACACCATAGCTCCGGCGCGGCGACACTCAGACACAGCAGGAGACCCAGGAGCACGGACCCAACTACGGCTCGGTGATCTTCAGGGAAGCCTGCGGAGTTTTGACGGCCGCAGCGCAGGGAGCACAATCTATCCCAGAGCCACGGATCGGCGTTTAACGCTTCCCCGCCCTCCAGCTCTGGGTGGGCGGGGTCTGGGGCGGTGGAGGAACTGGGATTGGCGGGAAACTCCGGGGCGCTACTGCCTATGCGCAGAGAGAGCCGGGGCGTGGCTACACGTCACGCACGGACTTTCCTTGCATTTTTTTCTCCATGGATTGCAGATTCCCGCCAACTCTCCATCCTCCAGGCAGAACACGGCCGCCCAGCTAGGGGTGATGCGGACGTGCCGCATATCATCTCAGTCACAGTCCACAGTGTGTGTGTGCGTGTGTGTGTGTGTGCGTGTTTGTGTTTCTGGTGTGTCTTTCTGATGTTTGCGTGTGTGATGTGTGTATATATGTATGTGGTGTTTAAGTGTGAGGTGTATATGTGTTTGTGTTCATATTTCTGGCCTTGAGTATCTTGAGAACTTGGAGAGCCCGTCCTTCATGGTTCCATGGTTATATCGCTCATTTTATGATCATTACTTGCTAGTGTCGAACTTTGAACTTCACCAGGGTTCTGTTCTGATATTTGATAATTCGCTGTCCACAACTAAATGCCGTGCCTGGTACATTAGGCCACTAGGGGGAGGGTGCGAGTTTCCTTACGAATTTTTACAGAGCATCTTTTGATTGTCCTCAAATGAAATCGAGACCCCTCTGCGCTCTCTGCCTACCTAACCTCTACATACTGCTTATTCTGTTGAAGAAAGGAGAAGGACCCAGAGTCGGTTAGGGGTCCTTAAAGATCTGAGCTTTGAAGGCGGAGCAACACATCACTGAAATATTCGTGTTCAGAGCAATTAGTATCACATTCTAAATATTTTCATGTATATATATATACATAATATATGTTTTTACATTTATTTATTTTATGTGTCTGTTTTATGTGTGTGTGTGTTCCAGCATACACTTATGTGAAAGTCAAGATAACTTGAAGGAGTTAGTTGTCAACTTATTATGCCTATAAGTAATGACCTATATTATTCTTAGTAGTTTATGGAGGTCTAGTACATGGAAATATAATAATTTGTTATTGGAGCTATTAGGTTATTTTCAAGACTTTGCTGTTATGAAAGTAGTACAGTGAGTATTATACATGAATACCTTTTGTGTACTTGATGAATTTATAAAACTCGTGAGGTCAAAGGGAAGACATGTCTACAACTATAATAAGTGTATGTTAATTATAAGGTTTAATATCAATTTGTACTCTGTGGTGCCTGACAGGCCACTTTGTATATACCTTCACCAGCACTGGATATTGTTTATTCCTTTTATGTTATCAAGTTGATGAGCAGAAAAAGATAAAAGCCTCTAATATGAGTTTACTTTGTCTTTTATTTACTAGTGAAAATCTTTTCCTGTGTGTCTTGGCTGAAGTTGTTACTTTAATGATTCACCCTTCCCTTTGCTTGCATTGTTTCCCATTAACTTGTAGTCATGGCAGTGCCACTGTGTTCCTACTAAAGAAAGATCTTGGGCCTGGAGAGATGGCTCAGAGAGGTTAAGAGCACTGGCTGCTCTTGCAGAGGTCCTGAGTTCAATTCCCAGCAACCACATGGTGGCTCACAACTATCTATAATGAAATATGGTACCCTCTTCTGGTGCGCAGATATACATGCAGGCAGAACAGTGTATACATAATAAATAAATAAATAAATAAATAAATAAATAAATAAATAAATATTTTTTTTAAAAAAGAAAGATCTTTCTGGATACAACAAAAAGAAAAACCTCTGACACTAGCACGCATAAAAACTGGTGTGTGTGTGTGTGTGTGCATGTGTGTTTATTGTAAATGTATAACAGGAAACCATATAAACATTCAAGTCAGGGATTTTGTTTTTTTGTTTTTTATTTTTTTATTTGTAGCTCCTGTCTGGCCTGGAACTCACTCTGAGTATCAGGCTGGCTTAGAATCAGAAATCCACCTGCCTCTGCTTCCCAAGTGCTGGGATCAAAGGTGTGCACCACTATGCCTAGCTAGGATAGGATGTTTTAACTTAAAATTTTCTTTTGAGACAAGACCTTACCATTTAGCTCTGGCTGTCCTGGAACTTGCTATGTGGACCAGGCTGGCCTCTAACTCAAATCCAGTTGCCTCTGCCTCTAGAGTGCTAGGATTAAAAGCAACTGGCCAACTTTTAAGTTTTTTACTGAAGCATTCATAGTATCTGGAACAAAGCCTGGGATATCATATAGTGTTCACTAAATCTTGATTAAATGAATGAAAAGTAATAGACCTATCATTCAGAGAAATGCCCTTTTGATATTTATCTTCTCAGCAAATGTCCTTTTGATTTTTACCTTCATAGCAAATAATACAATATTTTTCTTTATTCACAAAGCTCCATTTATAGACCAAGAGAAAAGGCATGTAGTTTTGGTTCTCCCTCTTTCTGTCTCTGTTTCTCTCCTCAAGGTCCTAAAGCACATGTTATAGTTCTTCTATGCCTGTTTTTGAGGATTTGGTTAATGATGCTGAAAAAATCCATCAATAAAGACTTGTGGGAACACCAGCTCAGGAACCCACTGATGCTTTAAAGTTGCTAGTAAGCAATGCTAAGCTTTTCACTCTTATTTAAGTCATTTTTTTATGTGTGGGTGTTTTGCCTGCATGTATGTCTGTGTACCATGTACATATAGTGTTGGTGGAGGCCAGAAGAGGGCTTCAGATCCCCTGTGATTGGAGTTAACAAAGGATTATAAGCCTCCATGTGGGTGGAGAAATCCAGCCTGGGTTTCTGGGTCCTCTGGAAGAGCAGTCAATGCTCTTAACTGCTGAGCTGTCTCTCCAGCCCAATGCTGGGCTTTTAAAGAACAGCTTTTTTGTTTGTTTTTTGTTTTTTCCAGACAGGGTCTCTGCATAGCCCTGGCTGTCCTGGAACTCACCCTGTAGACCACGCTGACTTCAAACTCGCAGAGATCCACCTGCCTCTGTGTGGTTGATATATTGTGTATCCTAATAAACTTATCTGAGGGTCAGAGAACAGAACAGCCACCAGATTAGATATAGAGGCCAGAAAATGGTGGCACACACACCTTTAATCCTAGCATTCTGGAGACAGATCCTCTCTGTGATTTCAAGGTCACACTGGAAACAGAGCCAGGCATGGTGGCACACATCTTTAATCCCAGGACTTGAGAGCTCATGTGTTGCTTGGTAAAGACACATGCCTCTGCCTCCAGAGTTTTGTGATTACAGGCGTATGCCCAGTGTCAGCTCATTGTTAATAGCTAGCATCTTCAGGTACATGGCTAGCTTCTTTGTATGGAATTTTTTTTTTAATCCCTCGACATGATCCTTTTCAGTAGCCCAGGATGATTCAAAGAAACACTCACAGAGGAATACTTTGCTTCAGACCTCAGTAACTGTGGACTTTGACCAAACCCCAAACTCATTTTTCAGTGCATCAGCAAAATTCCCACTGGCTCCTTGGCTCCACGAAGGCACAGAGGTTTTGTCCATTCTGTTCACCAGTTTTTTTTTTTATACAAGCTAGAACAGTGACAATGCGTGATAAAGTTATATGAGTACTGACTGAATGAACCCCTCAGTGGGAGCCAGGCACCGGTCCACTGTGGCCTCTGACTCTATGGTTATATTAGCAAAATTACACCAAATCCTTGAAGTTTCTTTCCCTAGGAATAGCCAAGGAGAATGCTATTTACTCACGATGCACCAAAAATTGCTCAAAAAATCTTCTAAACTCAGAAATTTCCCCCAACTTGGAAGTGAGTAGA